ATTACTTTTAACATATTAAAAATCAAAATCAATAATAATTTGAAAACAATTAATTTTAAAAATTATATAATATATAATTAAAAGAATTACTAATCTGGGTATAATTAAGGAAATAGAAGTTGATGTTGCTTTTGTCCATAAATATTTTAGAATTTTTTAAACACTATCTAGAGATTTGCATCGAAGCGTTTCTTATGATAGTGATTTTAATCACTGTCAGAATAAATCTATACTGGACCTAACTATGCAACATCCCCACTATGCCACGACCCCACTGTGCTGGGTTTTTTTTTTTATTTATAAGTATAAAATATGAATAAATACTTATAATACCCATTAAATAAATTTTCCATAAATAAAATTTAAATAATGACTACAATAATAAATTTACATATAAAAAAAACTGAATACAATAATACTTTTTTGTAAAAATAAATTGTTATTCATTAAAAGAATAATTTTTTCACGCTTGGTATAAGCTCTCGTTACTAGCCTTGATACTCTTATTGTAGTTGTTGGATAATACGAGTACCATTTTTCCAGTGTGAAAACATTTGCAACTTAAATTTCTGATTATAATATATGATTAAATATTTATTAAAGTAATTAAATTTAGTATGAAATTTATATTCAATAATTTAATATTGTGATTTTTACGGAGAAATTATAAAATAGTTCTATGTTACGTTATTTATTTACGTTGAAATCGTATATAAAAAATAAAGGGCATGATACAAAACTTTTCACAATATAATTAAAAAAAAACCAGCACACTGGGTACGTGGCATTGTTGGGTCCAGTATAGATTACACATGTATAACTTTTTTAATGTATAATTTATTTATCTAATTTTATGTGTATCACTTATGTTATTATTACTTGTTACAATGTTGTTATTAATAACTGCATATTCAATTGGTTATTTAAATCGCTATGTTATGTATGGTTACAATATATGAATTATTATAACTTGTTATGTTATTAATTTATGCATGTGTCAAAATTTTTTTCAATATCATTATAAATATTATGAGTACATTGATAGCATGTAACGTCACAAATTCGAATTCTATAAAATTGATTCTATTTAAAATTTTTTTTTATTCAATTCTTAATAATAATTTTATATGATTTCATTATCTCATAATGTATATTTGATTGATTTATTTTCAATTTATTTTATTTTATTCTCTTTATTCTATTTTAATTTTGTTTTTCTTGTTTTGCTTAAAGGTTGAGGTCCACTTTGAGTGTTCGTTTTCTCTTTTTGAGAAGATTTGTCACGTTGTTTCAAACCTTCTCAAGGGGGGTTTCTGTAACGTCACAAATTCGAAGGTGGACCGTTTATGATTTTTTGTTATGTCTACTTATTTATTTTATCGCGCGAAAGAACCTTTTTCTGACACAGCGGTGTCAACCACTCATTATTTTGCCTCTGACCGCTAGATAAGGCGATAAAAGAGAAATATAATTAAAATCGAATTGTTTATCAGTATTGATCCCTTCCAAAAAGACTGGCCGTTATCGATATGAAATTGCCGTTAGATCGGTGTTGACTCTTCTCTATTCTTTCTTCTGTCATTGACCGTGCTAGGGTGCACACATTTGTTGTTTTATTGACATATTTTTCAATGATGGAGTAGAACCGCCAACGGCGAACGGCCAGATCTTTTCGGCGAAGCATCCAGACCATCGGATGGGTCTCTTCGGAGACCGGGTATCGTTTTCTTTTTTTATATTATATTTATGTAATGAGCTATATTTTATTAATTATTTTATTGTAAATTAACTTAATTTTGTTTATGTGTGGAGAGCACGTGTTTCCCTTTTCTTCTAGCCAACGCTAAGGAGCGAGTGTCCAGACCGCTCCTGGTGTTCTTCATTAATTTCCTGTTAACATTAACGGATGTGTTCCAATACCGTCCGTGATGTTTGTAATATTATTTGTTTAAATATTTTATTTTATTTGTATTGCCTTTATTTGTAGACATGGTTTTTGATGCATTCGCATTTTTGTCCATGTTTAACTTAATTTTCTTTTTTTAACAATTAAATTAAATTTCCTTATTAATTTCAACTGTAATATTTATTTTATTGCGCGAGTAACTTAATTACTCGCGTGTATTTCATTCCTATTCCTTAATCTAGACACGGGCTACGGTATGTTTTACATATCAACCACATACAACTTTGATTGTCATAATTGTGTTCTATAAACCACGAGGCATTATAGTAATTTATACATATAACGACATATTAACTTAGATTATACTTTTAATTAACTTAAAATTAAATTCCACCTATGGTCCGGTAATCATATCTGATAGGTGTGACACCTCGCCTAGGTGGTGGCGACCCTTGCTACTCTAGCTAGTCGTTATGCAAGTGGCAAACCACGTTGTTGTTACAGGCCAAATTATTAATCTAAAAAGCCCGCTTGCAAGCACAATAATAAAATATTGTTATAATCTTAAAAAACTACACAGATTTTCGCAAATATGTATAGTGAGCCAAAAGTAAGAATTTAATAAATTATAAGAAAGTAAAATTATGTTGGGTGTGTTGAATAATTAATTTGGAGTTTTGATCACTTGAATAAATTTAATTATCTTACTTTCGGTTACTATAATTCAGTTTCTTTAATTTTATTGGGGTCGTGGAGTCCGAGGGTTTAGAGAATGACAATACAATCAGATAAAAGGGTTATGATGAGTATTGAAATTTAATATATGTATGTTTGCACATATAATCACTTTTTGCAATTCACGGCCAATGTGCCATAATAAGATATCGCTATCGACAGTTGAAATTTTACCATCTTCGCGATCACTACTTTTGCCTGATAATTAACTTAACTTTGCTACTTCGTATATTGTGTGTGTGTGTGTCGCCGTCAGCTCCCTTTTGGATTATATCATCTCTAGGTGTCCAGCAGGTTGTATTATATATTTAATATTTCAATTGCTTAATAAATATTTATTTATATCGTTGTTCACCTAAAGTGTTATATAGTTATATATATATATTGTAGTGCGACCCTTGGTAGTTCCTCTAAGGGAATATAAATTAAATAGGAAACTTCAGTACCTAAGGTAGATATAGCTTAGCCAGCTATCCCCCGTTGGTCCCTTAGAATACTGTCGACGGGCATTTAGGCTAAACCCCTAAATAGCGACGTAACAGTGGTATTAATAATCTATAAGCTCTACCGGTTTAAAACAATGCGATATAGTGTGGTAAAAGCATAGGTATAGTTCTATGTTGTTGAAAACATATCTATATATCTGTATTTTATGAATTGATATTATTCATAAATAGTAGAAAATTAAATTTTTTACAAATATTATAAACATTAGATCGTCGTTTATCAATTATAAGCTTATTTGTATCAGTCATATGATTATAATTAACTGACTGGAATACATGTATTTAATTGAAAGCTGTGTATTTTTTTAACTAGAAATGTTTTGTTAACACTAAATAATTTCTGATTAAATAATTTGATTAGATGATAATATATTTATTAATTGACCACTAATAAAATAATTTATTAGGAGATTTTAAGCTCATTTGTTAAGAAGTACATATTTCTACTGTACGTTTTATTTAAGGTAATTTTAAACAAAATATCAACAGGTAAAGGAATTAATTAATCTGATGTTGATGAATACAAAGTACAAAATTTTATTTATTTAACCAGTGATTAATTTGGGAAAAATAAAATAGAGCTCCTAAACTAAGTCTCAAAAAAGTATTCTTGAGTATTAATTATTACCTGTGTGACAATATATTACAGAACATCAGCCATAATAAGCGCAATAACAATTTCTATAAATTCATAAGCTAAATAAATTAATTAAATTTAAGTATTACGCAAATTAATATTATAATAATAATAGAATCAAAATTTTATTGATGTCACTCAATTTGATACTTTAAGGTATTTTATTATTATTTAAATTAATATCATATTAGAAAAATAATATAAAATTAATATTAATATTACACATTTTAATACTTTCCAAATTTTTTTTTTGATTTCATTTAGATAAAATATAAATATTGGATAAAACCATTCCGGTTATTTTATTTTAAAAATAAAATTTGTTAACATAAATAAATATAATAAAAATTATGATATTTAAACAGGAAATTAATTAGGACATCCATTTTCGGTAGCATAGTTAATTATATCAGTATGACCATTTCGAGTCGCTTCAGAAATGGTACCACTACTCCATGGACATTTATTTTCATGAGCATATTTTAAGCATAACAAATGACCATTTGCAGCAGCAAATCTTGTTGTGTCTTCATCCCACTCACAGCCATTTTCACGAACATATTTTAGGCAGTCTAAATTGCCATTAGCAGTAGCTCCAATCGTTGTTCCGTTATCCCATTTACATCCATTTTCATGTGCAAATATCAAACAGTTAATATAATTACTCGCAGCAGCTTCCCTTGTAGTGCCTTCGTCCCACGGACACCCATTTTCGTGAGCAAATTTTAGACAGCTAAAATACCCATTTGCTGCAGCCCCTCTCATAGTACCTTCAACCCAATCACATCCATGTCTACGAGCATATGCTAAACAATTTAAATTACCATGAACAGCTGCTGCAACTATTGTATCTTCATCCCAATTACATCCCTTAATATGAGCATAAAGCAAGACGATTAAACAATTACTTGCTGCAGCAGCTCTAGTTGTACCCTCATCCCAAACACATCCATTTTCGTGGGCATATTTCAAACACTCGTAACAACCACTTACAGCAGCAGCTCGAATTGTACCCTCATCCCATACACATCCATTTTCGTGAGCATATTTTAAACATTCGATGCAACCATTTGCTACAGCAGCTCTAGTTGTACCCTCATCCCATACACATCCATTTTCGTGGGCATATTTCAAACACTCGTAACAACTACTTGCAGCAGCAGCTCTAGTTGTGCCTTCATCCCATTTATTGTAACCATTTTTATGTATATATATTAAACATTCAAAACAACCACTTGCTGCTGCAGCTCGAATTGAGCCTTCATCAAACGTACATCCCATTTTGTGAACATATATTATAATGTCTAGATTACCCTTTACAATAGCACTTCTCATTATATTTTGATTCCATTTACAGCCATTTTCATATGCATATTTTAAGCATTCTAAATGACCATGAATTGCAGCTGTTTCTATTGTGCTTTCATCCCACGGACATTTATTTTCATATGCATATTTTAAGCATTCTAAATGACCATTAATTGCAGCTGCTTCTGTTGTGCTTTCATCCCACGGACATTTATTTTCATATGCATATTTTAAGCATTCTAAATGACCATTAAAGGCTGCTGCTTCTGTTGTGCTTTCATCCCACGGACATTTATTTTCATATGCATATCTTAAGCATTCTAAATGACCATTAGTTGCAGCTGCTTCTGTTGTGTATTCATCCCACGGACAATTATTTTCATGTGCATATGTTAAACATTCTAAATGACCATTAGATGCAGCTGCTTTTGTCGTGCTTTCATTCCATGGACATTCTTTTTCATGCGCATATTTTAGGCATTCTAAATGACCATTACTTGCAGCTGCTTTTGTTGTTCTTTCATCCCACGGACATTCATTTTCATGTGCATATTTTAAAATATTTAAATGACCATTATAAGCCGCTACTTCTAAAGTTTTTTCATCCCACGGACATGATCTTTCATGTAAATATTTAAAATTTTCTAGATTACCACTTATCGCAACAATAAAACTTGTACTTTTATTGCACGGGTATCCATTTTTAAGGACATATTTTAAAATTTCTAGATTACTTGTGGCAGCCATAGTAGTTGTGAGTTCATTGAATTGGTATCCATTTTCGTGAACATATTTTAATATTTCTAGATTACCTTTTGTAATTGCACTTATCACAATATCTAATTCATTCCATTTACAACCATTTTCATAAGCATATTTTAAGCATTCTAAATGACCATTACTTGCAGCTGCATCTGTTGTGCTTTCATCCCATGGACATTCATTTTCATGTAAATATTTTAAGCATTTTAAATACCCATTAGCAGCAGCAGTCGTTGTTGTATCTTTATCCAATTTATATCCATTTTCATAAGTATTTTTTAATAATTCCAAGTATTTATTTTCTTCAACTTTTCTCGTCGTACTTTCTTCTACTTGGCTAAATTGTTTGTCTTCCGAAATTTTATTTTGGATTGCTAAATGAGAACAATTATTATTAAGTGGGTACAATTTTTAAATTTTATCTTGATAACTTAAAAAATATCTAGTTAAGAGAAAGACTTTCAATTACAATTATTATGTTTAAGTTTATTATAAAATTAAAATTGGGACTTAAAATAATACTCGATTACGATAGTTTTTATTATAGGATCACTTTAGTCACGTTTAGGTTTTCGTTTGGGTTGGGTTTAAATTAGAGATAAAAAAAATTTGATAAAATACAAAATCAAAAATTTTCACACAAAAAATTCGTTAACCATTTACAACGTGAAGATAAAATAATGTCCGAAATTTTTTTTTTTGCATAATAAAGAACATTACATTAACTTTAATTTAAGATATATATAAAAGAGTCAGACCTTCCGGAACATTTTCAAAAGTTAAGTTGAAAAGTTAATTTTTTGTGAAAAAGTTGTCATTTTAAATCCCCCCTTGTGGCCAGGTGTAGGGTTAAATTTATGAAAAAAATATACAAAATGCAAGGTAATAATATTATGCATCTATAAAAAAAAATTATATTGATATGATGTTCATTTTTGAAAAAGTTATAGCACTTTTAAGTAAAAAAAGTTGAAAAAACTTCGAAAATTAGCGATTTTTAAATTTGTAATTTTTTTGGAGGTTTTCCCCATTTACGGGAAACGAGGGAATTTTTTTCAATTTTTGAGGGTACTATCTTCGATAAGATACGATTTATGATCTTTTGATGTATCATTGAAAGAAATCGGTTCGGTGAGATCGGAGAAAAAATGGTAATAGACACAAAAAAAAAAAATAATAAAAAAATAAACACATCTTAGTAAAACCAATACCTTCTCAGCTTCGCATCGAAGCTAAAAAAATTAATATATTTTTAATAATAAAATAAAATTGTAAAATTTTTATAATTCAAGAGTCCAGAGAAATAATCTCAATTTGATATTATTTTAAAATAGTAGTTCTCTTAATCAAGTTACTTATATTAATATAATTATATTTTATAGTATTGGTGTATATTAAATTGATACAGTTGAGTAAACTAGCTATTGCTATACATTTATTTCTGAATAACAATTCAATTAATATTATTCGAGTTTGGCAGCCATAATAAAGACTTTACACCATTTTAACAATTCATTTATATCCTCAGTTAAACTATTTGATAAATTATAAAAAGCATTATGTAAATCTCATATTGAAACAAATATTACACCAACACGACTGATACTAAAGTTTACACGAAATATATAATTTCTTATATTATAATATTTATGTATAAGGAAGTTTAAAAAATTTTTGATGTTATTGTAACGGAAAAAGGATAGGCCTAAAAATTACTTAACCACTTACAACAAATCGATAAATAAATTATAATAAATAAAATTTGATGGTCAAAGATAAATTATTTACCCTATGTATAGTATCATTAAATAATATATTCTAATCTTCTTAAACAAAGTTTTAATCATATATATTATGATGAAAAAGAGTAGGAAAATTTAACCTAACACTATATTTTTTCAAATAATTATAATTGAATATAATTGTAATTGATTTTTCTTGATTAACTATAAATAATTATTTAGAAAAATTTTTTATTTGATTAAAAATTGTTTCATCCAATATTTATATATAATTGTGCTTAAAATTGGACAGCTACATATGTTAGAAAACTTCTAGATGCGTGATCGCTTTAATAACTTCTAAATATACACACAACCTTGAAAATTATTATGCTTTTTAAATACACAAAAATCTACTCCTAATTATAGAAAACGTAGATTTATTCAACGAACAAATAAAATTTGTTCGATTACCATTAGCACAATAATTTTACCTTTTCATAAAAAAATTGCTATTCTGAACACTTTATGAGGACATTTGATGTAAGATATTTTTTTAGTACTTAAAAGAAAAAAATTACATAATTTTATTCAAACTAATTACGCGAGGAAAAAACTTTTAGGATTGTAATAAAAAACTTACTCCAGATACCTCTGTCAACAATAATAAATCTAACCCTTTACCTGCCCACAATAGGGATTCAAAATAATAACTTTTTTTTTTTTAANCCTTTACCTGCCCACAATAGGGATTCAAAATAATAACTTTTTTTTTTTTAGTTAAAGTAAATCATTAAAATTAATTCAGTTCTAGATATTACAATTGTAGAATCTTTTTAAATACCAAAAATTACTTAGAAATGAAATTATGATTTCTATTTAAATGTTGTATTACGATAAAAATGAAAAAAAATAATGAGTTTTTCTGATACAATATACTGTAAATAATAATTATAAAATTTCCTGACTACATATTAATCTTAAAAATAACATTGTTTTAATTCTAATAAAATTGTCTATTTAATAATTAGGCCAGTCAACAAAGGAGTAATTTTGGCGAATAGCAGAAAAAATTCCCAACCAAAAAAAATTTTTTTTTTAGGTAGGAAATTGGTGGATTATTCCAAAAGCAACATCAACTCCCACTTCCTTAATTATATCCTAATTACTAGTTATATGATTTATAAGTATTTTAAATGAATAAATACTATTTATAGTAATAGAATTTAGTATAAAAATTGATGATAAATAATTTAATATTCTAATAATTACGGAGAAATTATAAAAAATTATAATGTAGTTGTATATTTTGTTATATGAATGGCAAACGTGTATACAATTGAAGCGCTTGATGCAAAAATCAGATAACACCAACTTTTCAGAAAATAATTTCTTGTTAATTTTGAATTCATATTGGTCTACAAGATACATTTATTTTACTCGATTTTTAATTACTGTCTCAAAAATTAGATTAGCCCGAAAATCTCTAAATTCAAATTGGAAATCAGTGCATAAATTTGGTTTAGCAAAATATATTTTTAGCAATGATGATTAAAAAATATTTCATTTTGAAAACCATTGATAATATTTTTCTGTTTAATTCGGCGTAAATTCGAATTCTATAATCCTATTATTCGTGAATATATTAACAAATCAACATACTTATAAAAAAGTATTTTAATTTAAATTAATTGTGAATTTTTGTACTTTGACGGCCTATTTCTCATAGCAGAACAGTTGCCAATACAATTTTTTTTTAAATCTTATAGTACATTGTAATAGCTTTATTTTAATACAGGTGTAAAATAGCTGACGTTCAGAATCATCTTCAAAAACTGAGTTAAAAATATCTTTAACATACGTGGATGGTCTTTAGTAATCCCTTATAGCACTTAAGTTACTCATTGGACTGTCATAAGAAGTAAACTTAAAGAAAACATATTGTGTTTAGTATTTTATATTAATTTATAATTAGGATAGATGTTTTTAAAAACAAAATGTTGAGATATTTGTCTAAATATTAAAATTTTTTTCCCATTTTCAAAAAAACTAAGAACAAAGAGCAAAAATTGTCTTTATGTTCGACCAGATTCAAACCTCGTACTCCATGAGTAGATGACTTGTGTAATCGTACATCGTGCTTGTTGATAAATTAATACAAAGGCAATTTAAGATAGTTTAAATGTTTAAAGTCAATTTTCTCGATTTGAGAAGGAAATAATTACAAATTATTTTAAAATAATATTTAATGTAAATTAGAACCATATCAATTCAATGAATATTAGTAACCTCATTACTATAGACTATAAGATATTTTAAAATAAAAAAAAAAAACCCATCACAGGGGGTCGCGGCACAGTGGTGACGTGGCATAGTTGGATCAA